TAAAAAATTGGTTATACTGTGTAAATTAATGTTAAAGCTGTTAACAGATCTTCAAAGTGTTTAATCCCTTGCTGTGTGTTAATGTTGGTGGAAAATTTAAACACGCAAAATAATTTGTTCTGGATGTTCACGAGAACTTGTACAAAACCGCGTAAACATTTTAAAGACCATGATATTTGTGATCTACTCTGAGTGTATATCCACACCAAGCAAGCTTGAAAAAAATATGCCTGGCCACGGTGGGAATCGAACCTATGACCCTTGGAATACTAGCCCAATGCTCTGCCAACTGAGCTACGCAGTCAGGTCGGTTCGAGTAATACTATGTGATTTTCGGAAATGAGCCTAGTTACTTCGATAACAATGCAATCTAATAATCATGATTTTTTCTGTGTTGGTGTAATGTATTCGGGTGAATATGATGCTTGTGATGTCACTCTGAGTGTATATCCACACCGGGTAAGCTTGAAAAATATGCCCGGCCTCGGTTGGAATCGAACCTAGATGACCCTTGGAATACTAGCCCAATGCTCTGCCAACTGAGCTACGCAGTCAAGTTGGTTCGAGTATGTGATATTTCAGAACTGAGTCTAGTTCTTTCGATATCAATGCAATCTAGTAATCATGATGGCTCAGTTGGCAGAGCATTGGGCATTCCAATGTCGTAGCTTTGATTCCCACCCTGGCCAGGTCTATTTTTCAAACTTCCCCGGTGTGGTTATACACTCAGAGTATCATTGCACAAACATTATATTCACCTGAGTACATAACACCAACACAGAAAAAATCATTTTAAGGACCATTCTTTAAATACAGTGCACATGCAAAGGTTGTCACATGCAATAGTCAATTCTACAATCCAAAACGCAAATATTTTTGACAAAATGCAAGCAAATGCAGATAATATTGCTGACATGTGACATTTGACTACTGCAATACAGCATTGCTTGTGACAACATCATAAGAATTACAGTAGCTGCATATTATACTCTTTCTATACTAATGTATGCTCAAAAGTCTTTAATTAAATCAAATTTTGAGACATGTGCTACGTACAAGTACAGTACAATTGTCTAGCTTTAGTCATATATAGGATGATTCTCTGGTGTGAGCAAAACTAAAGTGATACCACTCTATAGACGTTGCTGTGTTGGGAGTTTTGTGACCCCCCAACATATATCACCTGACCAGTAATTAATATTGAAAAATTGACAGAGTAAAGTATGGTAAAGTGATTACCAGAATCCAGATACCACAGGAGTTACCGGTATAAGGTTTTAAAATATATCTATTGGGCAAAAAAAAATATGTGGGTTTCCGGTTTCCCGACCCTACCTACCTTTTGGACGTCGAAATCCCGACCCTAAACTTTTTTATTGGATCATGCTTGTAAGTGTTTCCACTTAGAGGAAAAAGTTTGTGGAAAATTGAAATTTGAGGCAATATTAGGGAAATTTATCTAATTTGGATGTGAAAGCACTGACTAAACAAAATGGTGTTCATTTGTTTGGAAAATTTAAAAAAAAGTTTAAAAAATATTAAAACCGACCTACCCTACCTAAGTTTTTATAAGAAGAAACCGGAAACCCACATATTTTTTTGGCCTTGGGCAAGACAATTACAAATACCATAAATACTGTGTACACCATACCTTTTATTAAAACAGTTGTGGCCCTCCATACTCATGAGCCAGTTCCTTGGAAACCTTGGAACACAGCATGATGTTGTGTTGAGAGTCAACACTAAAATTAAAACAGAATATTTAGTATAGCTGTATAAGATGACTCATGTTTCATAAGTGTATGCCTGCAGCAGCGGCGTAGCTAGAACCGATAATTGGAGGGGTGGGGGTGGTGTATATTCATATATTCATGTTCATGTAGTGTAACAACGTTAACAATTACTTTCAAAAGAAATCCCTCAGGCAGAACACGAATATATGAATATACACCCCCAATGATCAGTCTAGCTACGGGCCTAGCTGGCCTGCAAATACAAGTTAACTTGATATTTTCTGTGTTGGTGCAATGTACTCAGGTGAATAAGATGCTTGTGATGTTACTCTGAGTGTATATCCACACCGGACAAGCTTGAAAAATATGCCTGACCACAGTGGGAATCGAACCTACGACCTTTGGAATGCTAGCCCAATGCTCTGCCAACTGAGCTACGCGGTTGTACTTGTTGGCTTGCACCAACACAGAAAATATCATTATTACTAGATTACATTGATATCAAAGGAACTAGATTCTGTTCCGAAATATCGCATCCTCGAACCGACCAGACCGCGTAGCTCAGTTGGCAGAGCATTGGGCTAGCATTCCAAAGGTCGTAGGTTCGATTCCCACCCTGGTCAGGCATATTTTTCTTATTTTCTTATTTTCAGGCTTATTGTCATACATACAGTAGCAAAATTGAAACTGTCAAATTCCCCTAGGTATGCCTGTCCTCCCTGAGTCAGGCATAACACAACAGTGCAGATCAGAAATATATTGCGTAAACATAACTTGCACGTTTTGCCTGCCAAGGGCAAAGACAAGGGTTCTATAATATATATATACAGTAAATGGGGTATATACTGTAGTATTTTTAGCAGTGATTTGCATGTAATAAATTATTAAACAGCATCTATGACTGAGTTCAGCAATCTTGAATTCGCCTTTGAATATTTGGCGCAATTATTTTAGGAGCCTAAACTTTCATTAAATCAGAGCGTTCTATACCATTGAAATTACATGTATACACAATTTATCAGATATAAGTACAAATGCTTACCCTGCATAGCTTTGGCAACGTGTCTCGCAGTTCTGTTTGACAAATTGTCCATTTTATCAACCTTCATATCTTCGATGGACAACTTCGTCTCGTTTATAGTCGTCTTTAATATTAACTGTTCTCGTAAGAGCCTGTTCTCGTAAGAGCCTGTTCTCCTGGCCGACGTTTTGTAGTATATAAACAGGACATATTGGTCAGATAACGACACAGCCATATTTATATTACCATACGAGACTTGCTGAAGTTTAGCTCAGTAACTCAAATGCAGTACTTTGGATGGACGAAAACCCTGTTTGTGAACCTTGAACGATAGTGACGGTTAAACCTCATCATAAAAATCCAAAATTGAGTGGGAATTAACGAAATATCTTCCGATTGGACGAGTATACATATACGCACAACGGGAATGCCATCCTGTTTGTCAAATAGCTCAAATTACACGTATACTTTTACGGGGTCTAAACTGGTTTCGACGAGCAACATCTGGCCAAAAATTCGCTCAGTAGAACACTAATATACCATCATCCGTAAAATTGACGTTACTTGCACAACTCCAGATAGAAATAACAGTTATATTTGGTCAAAATTTTCCATTCCAGTACTGCAAAATATACAGCAAGCGAACAGACAATTGTTTGACCTGCCTGAGGGAGGGAGGGGAAGGTAATATTTGTGCAGCAATATGTAAACAAAGCGCGCGCGTGGGAATTTGCACTTGATCATCGATCAGGAAGCAAGGACGGCAAATCTCAAGAAATAATATGCTTTTTCTCCGTTTCGTCTGGTCGTATGAGCTTACGTAAAGTCAGTTGAAATGGCGCATTTTAACACGACATTCCACACAGCGAGTGGCGCACTTGCTAATGGTGGGATACGTCACGATCTGGGAGAAATCTCAGTGCAACCAGCGAGGCAGAGCGAGCATATACTTTCGAAGCTAGGTCGGCTTTCCAGGCCGAACCACTGCCGAACACGATCGAGGAATTCGTCGTAAAAGACGAAAAATAATTAAACAAGAAAGAGCGAGAGAGATATACAGGGATGTTTGAAAGAGAAAAAAGATCTGAGAGGGAAAGAAAAATGCAGGAGAGATTTATTATCGAGCACGAAAATAGGAAGAAAATAGAAACTAGTCGTTCGTGTACGTACACAAAGAGGGGAACGTGCTGTTGACTTCTGGCGACTGTGGGACAAAGAGAAAATGTTACGCAGTACGAGCAACATGTGAGTAAAATAGCATAAATTTATACATTCAAAACTAGTAAAAACTGTACTTCTCGTAATACCATCCGCATATTTTAAAGACTGTGTCCTATAAATACGTGAAGTATCGTAAAGTTCCTGAAACCCGAAGCTATTGTATATTATATATTTCGAATTTCCCAATTTAATACCCACACTGAAACAATTATAACATGTAATACTACAGATATACTCGATAAATGTATAGTGTTCTATACTGAATTCTACAGATCCGCAGACGTAGGTAAACAATAATTGCATGTCTAGTGACTAGTGTTTCTAAGCAGGGCATTTTTAAAGAATTTGTCAGTGGGGGGTGGCATCTACAAAAAGGGACCATACTATACCGATTGTGGAGAAATGATAGATGGTTTGTTGGTAACAAAAAGTTTGGTGTGGTATCGCATTTAATAGTAGGGAGGGGGGGGGCACTGGGGGTATTCTCCCCCAGAAAATATTTGCATTTTTCTATCCCTATACTGCAATTCTCTGCATTTTCTGAAACAGATTTTTGGATATACAGCAGTACATTATGCTGTAGATAGACTGAACCTTCAGTTATGTATTTGCATAGTATGTTTATGCAGGGGTCATCCTAAGAAAATTTTAGAACTGCCCATTTCGACAAGAACAGAGGTAATGAACACAGGCTAACTATGTGGCAGACAAGGTTCATGCATTAATCACTGCGCCAGAAACTCCCCTTCAATGAGACATTTTTGCCATGGCGTATTGGATCCCTTGGAAAATTTTTAATTTTAAAAGTCCAGAATGGTCATTTTATGCATTTTCAGAGTGAAAGCTGGTCAGGATTTACTTTTGCCTTAAATATCCTGTACAGGTACTTAATGTATAATTAATTTTCATATAAAGCTCAAAAACTGGATTTTAGAACTGCCAATTTTAAGTTTTAGAATTACCCATTTTACATTTAGAACTACCCATGTTGGAAAGTGGGAGGCCTTAGGATGACCCCTGTGTTTATGTAGATACCACAATTTGGTTACTCAGGGAACCAGCTTGATAAACTGAGAGGTGCCGATTGATTTTGGAAAATTTTGAGGACATTCCTTGCCAAAACTTTGGCCACCTTACATTCATGACAGTCCTGCCTTAGCTTTGTGCCTTATTATGCAAAAATACAATTAATAAAAATTAATACTAAGTTAATGTATTTTCCCCCTATTTTTTCTGGTTTAAATTAATGGTAGAAATAAATAAAATAATATCCAATATTAAGGACATCTTAAGGTAAGACACTGAGTCACTCATCATTCATGACATCATAATGTTGAGAACAAAAGACTGCAGTCTACAGGAAGGTAAATTTTATGCTGCATGTAAGAATAAGCCAGTCTTACACACAGGACATGCAGTGGAATATTACTTCAAATTAACATGATGAATTAGCAGTATATTGCTTTGGTTTCATTCAATTAATATATTGTACATAGAATCTCACTGTCTTTAAGCTTTTGAATGAACTATACAAACAAGATCTTTATACTGGCTAGGTCAATTTGGAGTGACCATTTTATGAGATCAGACAGAATCAAGGCAGAATTTTCAAGATTTTCAAACATATTTACTGATTGATTAGGGCAAAATATGCACTGGTGTGCTGTGAAACGTCCGTTGCACAACTTAAAAGATATAGATAGATCTGTGTGGACTTCCTGACTAAAGTAATTGAGATATTGAAAATGCTTGACTTTACGCCGGCTATATTCGGCATGCGTGAGGGTCTGCGGGACTAAAATTTAAACACCAAAATCCACTGAAATACGGGCACTTGGCAGGCCTGTATTAATTAAGGAAAGCGCTTTGTTGTGTTTGATTAGAGTGTTGAAAAGTTAAACGAGGCTAAGTTTTATGCTTGTTTTGATTTTATATAACTGATTAGCTGTAATCTTTCCGACCGCAGCTATTTCTTAGCTGCAATCTGCGGGCGTGAACTACGTGGTTGGTTCGCAATCAATTTTGCCTAAGTTTAAACTGATAACAAAGACAGAGGAAGATAAATATTAGAAATTCTGCCTCATGTTGTATTGTTGCTTTCATGAATTATGTTCAAGCTTGTTTTTGAGGGTGGTTTAATATTAACTAGCACTAAGTTAGAAATATTCACAGCCTAACCTGTTTGATAAAAAAATGGGATATGGGTAAAGTTTCAAGAAATGATAGAAAAATAAACGGGTGTCGCGTCCAGATAAATCGGTGTCTAATTCGATGAACTGAATGAAACGCGAAAATTGTTTGCAATTAACCGAAGAATATATAGCTTCGATCTGTTCAAGGACCTCCGTTTGTTCATTTCTTCTTGTATTTTTTAGGTAGTTGCATCAGTAGCAACGAAAGTTTTGTTATTTGCACTACTTACACCGGCACAGACAGTTAATTAAGTCATTTGTTTATTTAAAGCAAATTAAGAAAAAAAATTACGTAACTCAAATCACTCGCAAGTTTGCTAGTTTTACTCTTGCCTTTTTATGGCGTTATTACTGTTAAGTGTTCGTAACATATCTAGTTGGCTGTGACGTAGAGTTTTCCGTAGTGTGTTTCACTCGAAAAGTCGGACCTTCGCTTCGTCCTAACAAGAAAAACCGGTTTAACCGTCAATACGGCTTTTTAGCCCGTAATCCACTCAGATTTTTCGCGTACTCATGACCTTATTTGGTAAAATCACTCATTATCATAGAATTATACTACTCACAAATATTGACCTTTGGTCTTGCTTGCGTTTCAAAATTTTGATTTATTTCATTTGGACGCTTATTACATCAGGACAAATTCGCACGTATATACTGAAGTGGCCCTTCGAAACAAGATATGGAATTAGTTAACTGCGTTGAACAAGAAGGACGAATACACGCGACAATTTCTGATGTAAATATATCAGTAGATACTCTTTCACTATGTTCAGGAAGCCGAGCTGGTAAGGATTGGGTAGACTGTGATTAATTTATTGTCTTGATATAGTATAAAGTATACTTATAAATAAAGTAAAATAAATAAGGATTGATTACTTGCGGATATGCTATAGTAGACTTTATTACATTTTCTCAATCTCCGTCTCCACATATTGTGGATCTTTAGAAAATAGAAATATTCCACTGACCTATAAACAAAGCACTTGATGTAGCTTGAAGCGATTAAACTTTCGCTATTTTATGATCTTTAAAATCTTCAAAACTGCATAAAGTGTATATACAATGGTTTATCTGATCACACTACTTCCTTTGATAGCTTTTTGAAAGAATTGATGAAGAATTCAGTCTGTTTTCGTGAAGTTTTACTTTCAAGGAGCGAAGTTCGGCTTTGACTCGGAATTCGTGGAGTTATTGCAATTGTAATATTATATGGCGGCCTCTTAAAAGAATAGGCATCTTGCAAACACTGGACTGGACTAGGTTTAGACTGGACTTTCGACTGGACTCCGGACTTAAAATTTTTCGCATAAATCCGCATTATCGAAAAGGAACTCGACAGATCCAGTAGGACAACTTGCGTCGCGTATTCAAGATAATGCATGCTGAATTATTGCAGCACGCATAGGAGAGGCTTGGGAATGATTTCGCTGTGTTGATAAGTCCAATGTATCTATAGAGTTTGAGTATTGCATATAAACACCGTAAGATCGCCACTCGAAAGTTCTCGGAACCAATTTTCCGATTAAAATACTGTATTTAACTTTTCGGTATTGATATAATTATGTGACTCCAGTGGCGGCGGAACCCCCCCCCCCCCCCAATACATGAAGAATACCAGAATGCGAAACCATTTATACAAACTAGGAAGTCGTCAAATTACTGCTCGCCGACTAAGATGTAAAAGAAAATATCCTACTTTGTGATCAAGTGAGTGTAAATTTATTTTCTTTCACCCAGTGTATATCTTTGATCTATATGTTTGCATTATAACGACTGCATGACGACAGCGAAATAGCAAACATTTCTTGATTTGATGTTGATAAATTTCTTACAAATATATTTCATTTTTGCTCGAATTTTTGCAAGATTTTGTAAGTTTCGAAAGCTTTCTCACGGAAAGAAAGGGCGAAAGAATCGGCTAAAAGAAGGGAGCCAACGTTAACGAAGGTAAGTTTGTTTTAAGTATTGATTTTATAATGGCTTTAAAACCCGACGGCCTTTGCGTATATGAAACAACTAAACAAGACAGCATATAATTTCAGTGTATCTTTAATATTGATTCCCTTTTTTATTATATTGTATATATATATATACATATATATATATATATATATATATATATATATATATATATATATATATATATATATATATATATATATATATATATATATATATATATATATATATATATACCAAATATGTATTTAGAATCATATATGAGTAGAGTAATAGAGCTTATAGAGCTAATAGATAAAGATAAAATAGAGCTAATAGTAGACATATAGAGCCAATAGATAAAGATAAAATAAACCTGAGTATATAAGTCATATATGAGTAGAGTAATAGAGCTTATAGAGCTAATAGATAAAGATAAAATAGAGCTAATAGTAGACATATAGAGCTAATAGATAAAGATAAAATAAACCTGGTTTACTTCATAAGATTTATTCACAAATCTTATGAATAAATCTTATGAAGTAAACCAGGTTTATTTTATCTTTATCTATATATATATATATATATATATATATATATATATATATATATATATATATATATATATATATATATATATATATATATATATATATATATATATATATATATATATAAGAAGGGGCTTGTCCCCGAAACGTAAAAATATAATTTATTTACTTTGAAGATTTATGATTTTTTGATTTTTTGATATTTATAAATGAAGATTTTTGGGGGCTGGCTCTTGATATATATATATATATATATATATATATATATATATATATATATATATATATATATATATATATATATATATATATATATATATTTATAATATAGTCATTCACGGTATATGAGCTGTTCTGCAATCTAATTGGTTGAATTACTCGCCGTATATCAGCTCATATACGGCGAGTAGCGAAAAACAAGATGGCGGTCCAAAAACTACATGAATTTTGCGAAGCAGAAAAAAGGAAAATATTCGCTTTGAGAAAGATAATAGTACAAGGAAAAACTCTCAAAAAAATTTGACAGGTTAGCAAAATACATTTATTACAAGGAAATTAGTTCAAATACAAGTTTTTTAAAGAATTAATTCGAAACAACTGCGAAAAAAACATGTTCATTGAAAATATAAATTGTTCAGAAAAGTTTGCAACGAAAGACAAATGAATTTGCAGTCAACAAGCACCTACTATACTACCAAACATCTGTATAATATACCTGAGCTTTTCTGTGAGATATACCGGTTCTAAAACCATTAATCTTTCACTTCGTCTTCGAGTCGTAAAACAAAAGTATTTCAAATTTTCAAGGCCAAGCGGCTTTTGGCCGAACAAATTGTCAAGACATTGTAACAGAGGATATTTATTGAACAATTATACAATAAAATTTATAAAACAATTATACCATTCGCTCTCGTCGTATATGGCTGATAGCCGACTCGGTGCTACGCACCTCGTCGGCTATCAGCTCACATACGACTCGAGATCATGGTAGCCTATAATTGTTAAATATATATATATATATATATATATATATAAATATATATATATATATATATATATATATATATATATATATATATATATATATATATATATATATATATATATATATATATATATATATATATATATATATATATATATACCTTCTTGTTCTGTGACCGTATTAATATGTTGCCTGATGATTGCTTGTTGCATTGAACTTAAAGTAGCAACTTATTCAATTGAAAAATTGTATTAAAATATTAAATTTTGAAAAGAGAAATTTTGAATGTAAATCAATGGAGAAACACGCAAAAAGTAATTGAATGGTTTGGCAACATAAAGGAAAAACACAGGCATACTTTTGAACTTTCGTTTGATAGAGCTGATTTCTATACTCTTCAATTTCCAAACACTTACTGGACCAAGCATTATCTTGGGCTTCAAACCTGACTGATATAGCTGTAGACGAAATTCCAATAGGAAAACACGCTAGGAAATCACTATACTTTTCAATAATGGAAAACCGTGTATATATATATATATATATATATATATATATATATATATATATATATATATATATATATATATATATATATATATATATATATATATATATATATATATATATATATATATATATATATATATATATATATATATATATATATATATATATATATATATATATATATATATATATATATATATATATATATATATATATATGTATATATATATATTAAGATGAGAATGTTCTAGAGTGTCTATTATATAATTTCCATTCCCAGCGCAAGCAGAAAGATGTTGTCTGCCGCGGCTGGGTCTTGAACCCGCGACCTTCGAATTACTAGATCGACGCTCTACCAACTGAGCTACACGGTCAGACGGATTTAAGACTGGAAATTATGAAATATATACTGAATGTCATAAACATACTCGTTTATATTAATTCAGCATCGAACAATACTAGTTCTGCAAGTGTTATGTTAAGTGTGTAATTGTACACTCTGTAATATGTTAAGATGAAAATGTTCTAGAGTATGTTCTAATGTTCTATATAGTTTTTCGTTTTACCTCAAAAAACCACAACAGTCTGTTTCATCCGTATAGGAATTATCAGGTGGTCTATACGGATGAAACAGACTGTTGTGGTTTTTTGAGATAAAACGAAAAACTATATTACGCTCTATCTATATGGTATTGAGCACTGTTTGTGTTTCGTAAACCAAAATCTTAAGCTATATATATATATATATATATATATATATCCGACTCAGTCTCAACTTTTCCTGTTCACTAAAAAATACTTACTTACGGTGATTAACATATATATATATATATATATATATATATATATATATATATATATATATATATATATATATATATATATATATATATATATATATATATATATATATATATATATATATATAGCTTCAGATTTTGGTTTACGAAACACAAACAGTGCTCAATACCATATAGATAGAGCTGTTGTTACATACCCAAACATTCTAGTATTAATTTCCACCAAGTGAATTAAGTGCAAGAACTGAACCAATTCATTGAAGTCCACCTTATCACACCCCGCACATCCGATTACCTATATATACATGAACTTACGGTTACAGCTCAACAGCTGGCCTCTGTGGCTCAGTTGGTTAGAGCGCTGCACCGGAATCGAAGGGCCGTAGGTTCAATTCCTACGAGAGGACCTTGTGCTGCATTTTTCGCAGTCGTTCCTGGTCAGGTCTTAAAATATATATATACTCACTTGGATTACAAACCCTAACATTCTAATGTTAATTTCCACCAAGTGAAGTGCAAGGACCCAAATTATTGAAGTCCACTTTATCACAACCCGCACACCCGATTACCTATATATACATGAACTTGACTGCAAGGTTGCTAAAGCAGGTTTCAAAGGTTTTGTAAATATCCTAGGTGCACACGAAAGGCCATTGGGCAAACATGTTAACTAGTAGATTCTTCCCTCTATGTGAACCGTAAGAATTTACGATCAGAGGATTTTATAATTACTGTAGTATAGAATAGTATGCATCTTTTATGTCTAAAGTTGGCATAAAGCAACCTTTGTAACTAGATTAGTTATATCGTTGCATGATAGAATCCATCTTAAAATGATGGTGAACCACTGATCCACTTAAACCTTTCCAGGTTTAAACCCATCTTGCTTTGGACGATCCATAGCATCCATGATTCATCTTGCGTAAACATATCAAATATACTAGAAATAATTCGTACTGCACTATTGCACTTTCTATACTACCCCTTTAGCCACTAACTTAGATACCTCAACATCAAGTATACCTTAGGTATATTCATGGGAAGGAATTTATGGCCACGTAGGCTATGTTGTCCTGTTGTCTCAGACTCTCAGTATATTCAATACTGGCCCAATACGGACTCCAGCCGGTTATTTGTGACAAAATTCCTTTGTCATTAGTAATCTCCAGGCTTGGAAATGTGCCGCTACCTGTCCAGCCCTAAAAATTTCACATACATTCTGTAAACATGTCAACATGTAAAATGACTGGGATTATTTTGTCGAAATCACTTACCAAGTTTCGGATTTGTTACAAAAGTTCCATTATTTCTTCTTCCCCTCCCCCTTTCCAGCTATTACAGGGCTTTTTCTTTCTCTGCGTTGTTCCTGTTCTGGCCTTGCCATATGAACATTTTTGCTGCCCTAGTTATGTGATTGGTCCTACATTGGTAATACATGGGTGCGCGGAAATACCAGATTTATTTCTCGTGTTGAACATGATATGTCACTCCCTCGCTGCGCTCACTCGTGAAATATCATGTTCAACACTCGAAATATATCTGGTATTTCCGCGCACCCATGTGTTATTCTCAATATATTTCCCAACAGTATATACAGTATTTTGAGATGCGGCATTGTGAAATGTTTGCGTTAAACTTTTGTATATCTTAAACGAAACCGCAGCTTACTCGCCGCTTTACCTTAAGATTGACTGCCTTTAGCCTGAAAAGAGTGAACGAGTTACGACATTGAGTTGCATATGAGTTCGCTTGTATATCTATTCGATCATTCTTTTATTTAGTTGACGGTTTTGTTCATATATTCGTGCAAATTCTACCAAATTGGCTTCATGCAACTTGTAATGCGAATGAAATTTTGTCCTGGCACAACAATGTTTGAACATCAAAATAATGTACGTCCAATTGTGACATGCATGTTCTTTTAAATCTTGTAGTCATTACTTCAATGCCGAATGATCTATACTTTTAAGATCAGTTCATAGAAACATAATCTATACTTAGGTCGCTATTATGGACCATATTAGCACATATCCTTTATGTAACCAATCAAATTTGAGACTTTTGGCTATGCAAATTTTATAACTGAATATAAGCTCGTTTACGTCCTTAGATGCAGGTCAACTATTACTGCGTACGCTTTAAAAGTACCGGTATCACGTCGTTCTTTTCAAACTAAGCACTCAAAAATTATTTCACCGGCTTGTGTAAAAAAGACTACGAATTTTCCACTCACACGAATCGAGAATGACGTCAGACTAAATCAACTTCAAATTTTGCTAAAAAGTGAAGGGAGCCCCCTTAAGGCTGCTTAATTTCCGTTAAAAGCACGGAAAAGTTTTAATCCATTTAAACTTAAAGTTACGTATGAACTAAATGAATAAAAGGACATAATTTATTTAGTTTTGTGTATGAGTTATTGTGTATTTGTTGAGGTAATTTGTACTTATATAAAATTTAGAATTAAACGATTTAAACCATGCTTCGTGTGCATACGTGCGTACAAAAAACGCTTAACTGGCATGAACGAAGCAACCTATAGGGAAATTAAGACCATCGCCCACCGTTTTGATATTCCGCCATTATTTTTGATGATATTTATTTTTCCAAACTAAATTTAAATTATTGATCCCTATTTTTTCATTTCATTTTCCTGCCATTTCAGATTCAAAAGAACAGTGCGCATTCCAGGTAAGTACAGTATCGTGTACCCTATTTATGCAGACAGTTGGTGTTAAAAAGAGCAAAATAACAACATTGGGAATATGAAGGCACTTTGGGTTAAATATTGTTTTGTTCATTTAGGAAGCTGCTCTTTGTTTGGAACAAGGGGCAGCAAATGAGAAGTATCATGAATTTAATGAACATTTTGACAAATATCGTTATAAATGTTATGTTATTGTTCACACAACTTTGTACAAACTTCTTGATGTTGTCGCCTCTGTTACATTGTTGGCATTGGCAGCCATCGAACATCCTGCAATGTTGGGAATGGACGTCCCAATTTGGGTATGTATATCAACATCACTATCACCATCACCACAATCATCACCACCACCAGCATCATCTAACCCATTACAATCACCATCATCACCGTTTACCATCACTATCATCACTATCATCACTATCATCACCATGATCATCACCATGATCATCACCATCATCATCAACATCATCATCAGCCCCATTATGACGATCACAATTACATACCATCACTACTGTCATCACTATCATCATCATCATTAGATAATCATAATTTGACCCCATCACAATTACCATCATCACCACCACTTCCTTCAATATTATCCAAAGGGTCATCATCACTACCATCCTGATCGCCACCAACATCATCACTACCAGACAAGCAGGACTATAATCACTACAATTATCATCACCACCATCATTATTTCATGCACCAGCGTCGATCACCATCACCATCATCATCATCATCCACCATTATACAGCACTTAACATATTCTGTATTTCATTAGGTACATGGTACTCTCGAAGCATCTTGTCTTTTAATCTTAAGTATTTTATTTGGCATCAAAATAAAATGGCAAGGAATACAATTTTCCAAGTTTCATATAAAGACTATATTGAAGGTATGACTTGTTTGCTTTGTACTGTTTTAAAATGTCCTCTCTTGAGGTTTAGTAAGGGTGATTCTTTATTGGTCCGGTTTTGCAACTTACATAACAAAACCAGAGGTGTCTGGTAGAGACAAACTGGGCTTTGCCACTTTTCTCTCATTTGCCTGAGGTGAAATTATAATCAAACAACCTGCATGTTGTAGAAATCCATATACGAACTAGTAATCTCACACAGATTTTTTTCAATTAAATTTGTAGTTGTTATTAATTTTTACAATGACAATAGAAGTGATTGTTGTTCTGATTAGAAATGACTCTCATGTGAGAGTGACGAGAGCTTTACGACCGTCATTTCTGCTGGATACATATTATTTTGGAGGCGTTCGAAGGTATAAGTATACTGCATTCTAATCACAGAAAGCCCAGGCTCTGTGTGTAGCCCGCATCCAGCCTTTGCTAGCACCAACCCTAAAGGCTGGTTGCGGGCTTCACGCGGAGTCTGGGCGTCCTGTGGTGTCATTGGTACAATTTTGGTAATCACACTGATCAATATATGATTGTCAACTTCAGGGGCCGGTTGTATAAAAACGTAGTTAGCGCTAACTGCAGTTAAAAAGTAGTTAAAAAGTGGTTAACTTTAATCACGTAGTTAAGCCGGTTGTATAAAAGTGTAGTTAGCCTTAACTGCAGTTAAAAAGTAGTTAAAGTTAACTATGTTTTAGGGTATAGTTAACTGTCCAAAACGTAGTTAAAAATGGCGTTTGTATAGGAGTGAACAACATTTTTCAGTAAAACGATAATGAAAAGCAACGCTTACCTGAGATTTTCAATCGCTATCTTCCATGTGAATGTTTCCTGACAATATAAACTCTTCGAATGCTATCGCTTTGGTGTTTTTACGAAAACAGAACATATTTTTGCACAGGAGGATTTCTCGAAGAAGTATGGTCCATTACACCAAGAAACACTGATATATAATTCCCAAACAGCTATGCCTTGGTTTAACGTAGACATCTCAAGGAAAAACTGCATTCTTTTTATCATTTTTGCCGCGGTTTTTCTTTATTTTTTGTTTAGTTTTCACTGTTTTCTAGTGTTTTGAATAAAATTCCCGCCTATTTGCAAAATACGAGTCCACAATCGTGTTGAAAATGTTTGTCAGCGGTCGTTACTCGCTGCTTACTTTATGTCATTTTCTGTTTAAACGCCCCACGCAAGCCCCACGCACAGTTAACTACGTGATTAATAGTTAACTATCCGACTAACTACGTTTTGTGCAACGCAGTTAAGTCATGTAGTTAACTAATTACAGTTAAGGATTTAACTACAGTGATTAACGCTAACTACAGTTAGCGCTAACTACGTTTTTATACAACCGGCCCCAGAAATGTTAAGACTTATTGCAGCAAACAAATAAAATAATTAAAATATCTGCCGATTGAACCGGTTGGGTCACAGTGGATACTGTCCTCCACAAAAGGGTGTCCTCCCTCTCCGCTAGCTAGGGGATTTTATGACTGCCTGGACAGTATTCGCTAGCTGCTACTGTCTCCCCGGACACTATCCGCGTCGCAGATGATGTCCTCCTTGCGTAATATGTCCCCTTCGAAAGTTGCGCGATTAAGTTTAGAGAATAAGACGTTTTACGAAAGGGGAGCGGTACGGATATAAACCTGCTCGTAGCTTGAATGGACAACGCCATTTATCTGTCGGCATCTGCTGAATGATAATGCTTAGTGAAATCCACCAATACATTGTTAATCACAACTTTTTTTAGTCTCTCGTTTAAATGTATAATACCGTATGCCAAAGCTGTTTCTGTTTTCTTAGGGTATTCAGAGATATTCTAAGATCAATGCCTCCAGTGCTGGACATATTTGCTTTATTGCTGTTTTTCATGGTCATTTTTGCTATACTCGGTAAGTTTGACTATGGATAATAAAATAAATGGATAGGAAACTAGCTGACGTGACCTAATGTTTTCAATGGAAAGATGGCGTGGTTGGATGTTGAAACCTAGTTGCAAACCAAATTCTCAAAAACGGCATGTTTAGCAATAATACAGCTAAACATTTTAGTCAAAGAGCCATTAATGAATATAACCGCGCCATTCTACGATAAAAACTCTAAGTATTCCCAGTCAATTTTAGCAAATATTTCAAGTACTAAACTGTGAAAAATACATCGCAAGTTTCATTAAATTTTGTGACGCCAATTTCGTAGCTACAAATGTAAGAAAATACAAAACAAAGACGAAAAACATTTGTAATGAATACTTTGTCGTGGCTTAGGCATATTTTTAAAACAATTAGACCAGTTTATGCTTCAATATCACCCATTTAAAATGGAAAATATAGCAAAACAACAGAAATGCCGAGAACTTTGGTAATATTCGCAATACGCGTGACGTCACGTTTTTCAACAAGGATGAGTCAATGACGTCAGGAAGTTTTGTATCCAGTTATTTTACAATCTATGGTTTGACCAAGTGTGACATGTCAATAACTCCAATACTGCCATAAATTATTACCTTAGATTTAGTAAAAATATACCTGCATTGGTTCCCAATGCAGGAATATTTTTACTAAATCTAAGGTAATCCAGCCGCCAGTTTTCTCACCATAGCCGATTATGAAAGCCTTGCCAATGGTGGTTAAATCCAAAAGGAAAGACGGTTATTAGAGAGATTAAATTGTTCACTAGATGTATTGACCTTGTCTTTGGTGATTAATATATATAATGGAAACATTTAGCATTATTTGCTTGCTATAAATTTCAATACATTTAACGTTGACCACCATAGAAAACACGCAATGAAATTCTCAAAAAACTGTACGAACAAGTTTCTTAACGCATTACGTTGCGTTGCGCCCTAATGCACCTTACTTTTTTCGCTCTGTCTAATACTAGACGGTTTTACCTATCGAGGGGATAGCGCTAGCGCTCAATGAGTTAACTCTCTTTCTAATATGCACCATATTTTATGCTAGGTTTTTACTTCTTTTCAACCAATGAAAACGACGAAGTAAGCAACTCTCTTGTAAATTAGTTTTGTGGATTGCCAAGTCTAGTTATAACCTTATCCACACAAATCACGCCAAAGACCAAATTTTTTTGTTTCAGAATTTCAGTTCACTTCCAAGAAGTTTTGTCAGCCTTTTTGTTCTTGTTACAACTGCAAAGTATGGAAAATATGAAATGTTTTGTGATAAGTAGTAAAGACCCAGGGAGTACAATGGTTCGTGTTTATCTGCATGTGGGATTTCACTCCTTCAACAGATGGTGTTGATAAAGGGCCGCAATTACGAAAACGAGGCTCTACAGCCAAGGCTAAGAACTTAGGAAACACCACAAGTTTTCTCCAAACCTGAGCCTGTTTCTTCACTAGAGATGACTTTACACACCAGAGATGACTTGTCTAGCACCAGATAGGGCTAAATAGTATAAATAAACTTGGTTTAGTTGAGTTTGAGATGCCATAATATTATCGTTGTGTCACCCTTGTTTGCAGTTATCCAGACGTGATGATGCCAGCTTATCACAAACATCGAGGAGCTGTGTTCTTCTTCGTTATATATATTGCAGTCGCTTTATATTTTCTTATGAGTCTGGTAAGATATTTTTCTTGTTGAACTTTGGCTAATACAGATAACGCACCGTCAATCTATAGAAGTCTTTAAACTTCCGTTGCCTAGCAAACGCGTTCAGGGTTTGTAATCCCCTCTTACAAACTCTTTTTCCAATTAGCTCTCCTTTGTTTTGTCAGTTACTGGCCACCGTTTACGCGACGTTTTCATCAAAAAATAAATTGAGTCTTCATCGTCACAAGCGGTGAGTTATATGTAGTGTAATCTAAATCAAAGAAATCAGTAAGAAAGGAAGTAATGGTCGAACGAACGAACGAACGAACGAACGAACGAACGGACGGACGGACGGACGGACGGACGGACGGACGGACGGACGGACGGAAGAAATGGGTAGTGAATAGGGAAGATCTCTGGAAGAAAGCATGGAATAAAGAAAGCGCAAAAGATAACAAGGAATTACGAAAGGGGTTTAATTTAAAAAGGCGTTAAATGGGAGAAGTGAGATGAAACAAAGTTTGGATGGCGGGAGAAACGAGTATGTATGTCCCTTGAGCCTCACTCTCTTGTACATAGCGATACTAACATTGATAGGTAGGTGGCTAAACAGATTAGAATAGATTTAAAGTTTGTTCGTTCACTGCAACCAGGTATATCAATCATGTTTCGCTCGCTTCTCTGGTTTTAAACCAGAGTAGCGAGTGAAACAAGATCAGAATATTTGAATAATGCACCACCAAATAGCAAGAATAAATGGACACTAAGTTACACTGATTGTTTTACGCAAATTTCCACAGGTAGCAGAAAGTCGGAGTATGAAATGCATACTTCAGGCATGGATGATTCCAGCCATAGAAATAAATTTCGATCCAGACAAGAAGGACGAAATCTATCATTATAGCTTAAAAGGACATTCATAAATTAGTAAATTTGCCAAATTTTGTTGCAAGTTTTTGAGTATTTTTGAGTATTAGCACTTTTGAGCCGCAACGACAAGTGCCCACAGACAAGTCGCACTCGAGTGAGCTCTATAAATACAAACGAACAAGAGGTTTTAAAGAACGAGTGCTCCCCCCAGTGAGTGGAATCATACTCCAGTCACACTCATACTTCAATCCTACTTGACTATACAGGACCTGATCACTTGAACGTTGCTTAAAGGTGATCTACAGTCCGATCTGCGCATGTGCACAAATGAGCCCACTTTTTATGATACAAACAGTTTAACTATGTTTTGAGTTCTTGAAAAGCCTGATTGTTTTTTCTTGATCATTTATTATACTCTAGAAGCTTGAAAATATAAATAGTTGTCAAATAAAGCTCAATATTTTGGACACAAAAATGTAAACAAAGGCTTTGTTTACATACGGACTGTAGATCACCTTTAAAAGTGAGTGTGCTTGCAGAAAACAGGCGTTAATATCTCTAATATGTTTGCAGGGAAGGTGCAACACGTGCTTACAAGACGATTACAGATATAGAACCAATGGTAGATTATTAAATCCATAATTTTCGATTATTAACGCGCAGCTTCTACACTGACGAATAAATCTGTGATATTTATCGCAATGCGAAGCAACATTGCGTGTCAATGAACATTCTTTATTGTTACAACATTTTTTAGAGATTGTGTGCTCTTTTTTTGGTTTAGGACGATGGTATCGACCTGACAAAATTTCAGAAACTGTTGAAGTATTACAAACCTAGAATGTGTATGTCCAAATCTGTGCTGAAATTTATGCACTTGTCATCGGAAACACTCACCCACCCCGGGGAAACAAGGAGCATAGACCTTTTTAGAAACTAATGAAAGAAAATCCCCACCCATAGGGGAAAGCAAAAGCCCCTTTCGGAACAACACACCAATTAAAAGTTTCAAACATTGAATATTACGGAACTCACCGAGTTGTGGAATCGCATCAAAAATTCGTTTCTCTGCCACTCCCACAAACAGGTAGGACCGCATCTGAATATTTTTGCATGTTTACAATTCTAAGGCCTGTTTTATACGCCGAATTTCGGTCGCGTCGAATGCAATTCAAACAATAGATAATGAAGCTTAATGAGGTTTATCATCTCATTATCTATTGTCTTAATTGCATTCGACGCGACCAAAATTCGACGTATAAAACAGGCTTAATTTTAAACTGCCAATCCGGTTATTGGTAACAATTACAATTTAACGTAGAATGGCTGTTTAAAATTAGAATTGTAAGCATGCAAAAATATGTAGGTGCGGTCGTAGACGTTTGTAGTAGTGGCAGCGATACGAATTTGACGAAAATTGCCTAAGCCCCAACCCAATGGGACACAATGAAATGTCTAAAGCCCATCATCCCCCACATATGCCCCATGTTTCCCCTGGTGGGGAGGTTCCGATGACAAGTGCATTATAATTATATTCTCGCCCACTTTTTAAGCGGGTATATGCGCCCCATTTATTAATAATTTACTCTAATAGTATCTTAGCTGCTTTAACGCGCCCCATTTATTAATGTTACCCTCATTATATCTTAGCTGCGTTGAATAAAATTCTTGTGTTCCAACTTCTGGATGAACGAAGATCAGGGAAAATTAAGTAAGACTTCTTTGTGTCATAAAGATTAATATAAGAAAGAGAGTCGTAAATAATTACATGCATTTTCTCCTGTAGTCTTGACGAATTTCGCAATATTTATGGTGTGACAAAACTTTCATGGCGTCGGGTAAGACATTTCATCTTCTGGTAACTAGGTTTAGTTCATTTGTTACTCTCGATTTCAATTTGCTTTTCAAAACTGACTTCCAATGTTTACTTGTAAATTCGGAATGTTCGTTGTAAAGTTCCGAAGTTTGTTTCGAAGTTCGTTACGATGATTTACGATGATTCAATAGCAAGCGATTTGATTGGCTGGTTCACTTAACTAGCCAATTACAACTTACTAAACTTGATTATCGTAAATCATCGGAACGAACTTCGAAACAAACTTCGGAACTTTACAACGAACATTTCGAATTTAGAAGTAAACATTGGAAGTCAGTTTTGAAAAGCAAATTGAAATCGAGAGTAATATTGCAATTAATTCAGTTTCCTTCTTTTTTAATTCCAGGATACTAATGCCGAATGGTTCCACAATTGGGATTTTCCTGTTCCCATTCGTAAAGTGTTAGAACGTAATTGATTATGAACTTTAATAAAATTTGTCATCTCAGATTCTGGACTTTTATTTCATTAACAACGAAGGAATAAATAGGTTTTTATATTGTTTGTATAGGCATCCATATATTGGTGACTGCAGAACCATTTAAAAAATCGTTTTATTCTTGTTTTGATGTTGTAATGTGTAAGTTTTAAGCCGTCTTTAAATTAATTCGCTAGCCTTGGATTTACTTTCCATTGCATTTTTCCCCAATGCTCTCGTTACCATGTTTGTCTGTTTTAGCATGAAAGGCACGAATGTGTTTCCAGTGACGTATCGCGCGGGGTGTTTGGGGATGTGGAGGTGTTAGGGTTAGGGTTAGGGATGATTGCACCATCACAAAACCAAACGAAATGTGTATCAATTTATTCTTACGCATTGTCTGCTATTATATACTGAAACTCACTCCCTCTATTCAAAAGATCCAAGCTACGGCATTGTGTGTTTCTCTTTGTTCTTGAGCTCTATCACAAATTTATCCTTATTCCTTAATCTAGTAATTAAAATGTAAGGAAATAAACGCATGAAAATGAGACCACTGGCGCAAGAGTGCAATAAACACTACAGTCTATTGTGATTCGTTAAAGATACGTCCAAAATTCAAATATACTAATTTTTTTATTTACACAGATATTGTAATTTTCATCAACGGATGTACAGTTGTCTTTGAAGTAGTTTCGGCTTCAAACCTTAGTCGTTCTGAGCGACATTTCAGTACACTTCACTGGTTTTCCCACATTTTCACCGCGAGTAAGATATTTTTTCTGTATCAGTAACATTTATCATTATAGGTAGTATACTCTTGTTCTCACAAACCTAATCTTGATGTTTTTTTCAATTGTGTAGTTTACGCTACCGAAGCCTTGTTAAAAATCCTTGCCTTGGGTCCTCGTGATTATTTTGACTCCTACTGGAATTGGTAAGAAAAAGCATTTTATGGGTAAATACAATGATGTTTCTAGATGAACTTGCAGTTAGAGCGCGACAACTCAATATACATGAACTTGACTCTGTAGCTCAGTTGGTTAGAGTACTGCACCGGAATAACATGGCCGCAGCTTCGATTTCTGCCAGAGGGCTTATCGTTTTCGCCGCTTCTCCTGGTTACGTCGAAAGAAATGTACAAAATTTATAATTAAGCAAAGTTTCCATCTAGAAAATTCATTAAGAAAAACATAGTCCATGTTCATCCAGGATGGATTTTACATAAATATTTTGTAACCAAAATGTTATAACAAATATTATATAGACTAGAAATACATGCATGCAGCAACCCCTCGCCTATATTTTCTAAATATTGATTTAACATGAATTGTTCGTAATAGGTCAATACTGAACCCAGGCTCGCGTTGTGGCCTCATGTTTTTGCCCTGACAACACGATATTTGTCAATTTTTCTATTTTTTAATACTTTGTGTACAAAACGGCAAAATAATTGAAAGATTTGTACTTTTAATTATACAACAATGCGTTTCCGAAACATATATTGTAGGTATGTTATTGTGCATTTTGTAAGCTTTGATTTAATGAAAAATTAAATTTGAAACGCTTCGTAAAATGTTTTGAAATGCTCATTCCACCACAGACATCCCAAGCTCATATGTGGTTGGGGTATATTTGCATGTATTTTTATATTAGCTTCCTATGACAGAATATATATTGTCAAAAAATGCTAAAATATTGCATTAGATTCAGAAATAAGGTTACTTACCACTACCACAATGTATGTAATTGATTCTTCTGGGTTGATTTGGGGTGATTTTTAATCCGCTTGAAAAGTACCAATGACGTATCATCCTTACTAGCGTGAAAAATAGAGAAGGCAGGTGGTTACTTCCGCTCCAGTTATCCCGAAAAAAACAACAGATTCGTAAATCCCAGTATATTTCCGATAACATGCATCGTTTTCTCCACTCTGCTATCATTGGTTTATCCGAATCGCTTACACGCGGCAACAACAACGAGATTCGGATCAACCAATGACAGCAGAGTGCTAATTCGAATTCGTGAACTCTCAACGGAATATTTCGTAGCATATGGGAGTCACGCTGCCTGAGATCGAACATTTTATGGATTTCACTGACAACAATAAGGCTTCTGATCGCTGAAGACGATTTATGTTATAGGAAATTTACTGGGCTTTACGAATCTTCTTTTTTTACAATCCAATGCGTTATTTAGCGACGCGAGAACGATTTGTGAAGTCGATGCGACTAAATCGGGATAATTGGAGCGGAAGTAACCTAGCTGTACGTCTTCTCCATTTGTTCTCCGTAGTAAGAATGATACGTCATACTGTACGTATCTCAAGCGAATTGAAAATTACCCCAAATCACCCCAAAAAACTCAATTACACATTCTAATAGTGGTAAGCAACCTCATTTCTCACTTCAATGCAATATTTTAGCATCTCTTGACAATATATATAATATAAAAATACAAATATACCCCAAATAGGGATGCATGTGATTCAACGTAACTGTTTTGCCGATAAACTGCTTTTACACTTCATCAAATTGTTGAGTAATTTCAGTTAGGTGTTCAAATTAATTTGTAGCGCTTCCTTTACATTTCAGGTTTTCCTCTTAACTTAAACAGAGTAATTTAGAAAACCTACAGCTTTTTTAAAAATGGAAGCAGTGCAAGTCGTAGGAAAAAAATTAAGAAATTTAGACTTCGCTAGTGTCTTTCTTTCCCCAGGTCATCATGCAGGTGTAAAAAGCCGAGCGGATTTAGTACCCTCGTCCTGGGCTTACGCACAGAATGTCGCTTCGCGCTGTTGGTCATGCGTGGCTGGGGGATAAAATATTTTTCATTTATAATGTTATTTTTATTGTAGGTTCGATTTTTTAGTTACAATTCTTAATATTCTTGGAAGTTTTGATAAAGGAGCTAAGTTTGCAATCTATCTTCGTCCAATTAGACTATTGCTGTATGTCGTATAAGAATACGCATTTTGTTTTGTATTTCAAACAACACAGTTTTAGTTGTATGAATTTTCCTAAACACCAATGGTCGGATGTTCATAATTTTACCTTCATGTTTATGTTTATTACAGATTGTTCCAATTGAGGAAGAGTTACCGTGTTGTGTTCGAAACGTTAAGAATATTGCTTGCCAATTTAGTCAAGTACGCGTTGAGAAGAACTAAACTTAACTCAACTTTTATTTACACTGTGTCGCTCCATTAGTTCTAAGCTGTTCCCTCTAGGGGTCATATAACCGTCATCTATCTCTTATTGATGTAGTGTTACTACAGGCAGGGCCATAGCTAGCATGAATAGTTGGGAGGGCGGGCAATAATTTCCGAATGACGAAAAAAAATTCCGAATCTTTCCGAGGCATACAAAGCTACGAAAGTGTTTCCGTGTTTGCTATCGGAAAAATGAGGACGCGATAAATTATAGATTTTGTGAAGCCGTTTTTTATTAGACGCACTTAGAATATCAATGTATCACAACTACGTTATAATAATGAAATAAGTTCAACAACAATGCCACAATGGCTATGTTGTGTGGCAGCAATTGTTTTTGTTCACAATTGTCCACAAAAGTTTCCATAAAACGTAATAAAAACGCCATTGCAGGCATGATGAATGGAAATCTATATGTTTGTCTTGTAATACGTCTCGTAACCTGTCTCGTCTCATATCGTGCTGTTGTTAGTTTTGGGGGGAAGAAGCAGAATTCTCTGTGTGCTGTGTTTAAATCCGGCTTGAATATTTAAAAAAAAAGTTTAAAATATAAATATTCTGCATGGTATGAATTTAGTAAGCTTGAGGTGTTCTGCTTTTAACCTCCGATATTTTAAAGTTTGTTTTGTATTGCCACTATTGTGTAAAGGATCGCTGTAAGCCTGTAATTGGCGAAAGCTGTATGTATCGTTCAGGGATGCCGGAACCACGGGTGCAGCGGGTGCAGTTGCACCCGTTGCCTTTTGTCTTCACAACTTTACTGGTGCACTACGGGTGCAGAATACGGGTGCAACGGGTGCACAAAGTGCCCTTTTTGCGTGAAAAATTTTCATTAAAAATTGCATTTTTTGCGCAAAGGGCATTTTTGAAAAATTCAATCTATGTTATTTCCGGAAAAATGTTTTAATTTCCGGAAAAAATAACATTTTCCGGAAAAATTTTCGGTATGTCCGGAAAATTTTTTTTGTATTTAGGAAAAATTGTGGTATGTCCGGAAAATTTTTTTACCCCTAAAATGGTACACTGACCAAAAAATTTTGGGAGACGGGGGGGAGGGGCGGGGGAGGTCGCCAAAAATAATTTTTAGATGCCCTTTCATTTTCATTAGTGCCCTTTTGTTAAGGAATATGCCCTCTTGTTAACCAATTGCACCCCTTGCCCCCAGCAACTTCCGGCATCCCTGGTATCGTTTATGTTAATGTGTGTATAGCAAGTGATTTTAAGTTGATTTGGCAAAGCCTAATAAATAAATCAATAGATAAATGTCACAAATTTATTCATCGGTTGGTCTTCATGAACCATTTCTCAACCAGTAGATCTAGGTCCACACTGTCTGTAACTATCTCTTTCGCTGTTTAAAACGAAATTTTAATTTTGAATTTTAAAACAAAATTTTAATATTAATTTAAAAGTTTTGAAATCGATGATCACAGTGCCGTAAGTCTTTTAGCTTGCTGAATGATCGATCATCCATTCCCTGCCACTGTCATGCACTGATAAAAATTATCGGCCGAATTTGAAATTTCTAAGGATTTCTTGAGAGAATTGAGTCAATTATTGACCAAATACAAACAAAAATACGCATATTCTACATATACACATATTACAGAAGTTATAAACCGAAAACCATTTACCAATTTACGATTTGTAAATTGTTACTAAATGCCATGTTTCGTAAATCAGTTTATACTGACAATACAATTCTATAATACTTTCTCTGTTTAACAACTAAAATTTCGTTAAACTATTATTGGCGTAATTTTCCGAATGGCCAACCCAATTTTCCGAATATGTTAATTCTAATAAAAGGGGGGGGGGGTTAACTACCCCCAATACCCTCCCCTCGCTACGACCCTGACTACAGGTAGAATCCGGAGGAAACAGTAACTGGAGAAAGCTAACCTGCTGCATTTGGTATAGAGTCAAACTGGAAGCACTCTTGTGACTGAGGGAAAGTTATAATCAGACAATTATTGCATGAATCAAACCTTGCTAACAGAGGTGAAAGACTATATAAACACTATACCATGCACCAACACCCCAAACATATTGCAATCTCATGAGAAGAACTTTTTTTCTTTCTACAGTTTAGGGATTGTCATCGTTCTTTTCTATTATTTCTTCGCAATTATTGGTATTGAATCATTTGCTGGCGTAGAACTCAAGTCGTGTTGCAGGTATATGGCCAACATTTTGAAGAGTCAATGAACCAATGAACGTATGTTTTCAAGTAGCAAGTAACTTTCATGCTTTTGCAAATTATTTTTGTTGCAGAAATTTTTCGATTCAAGATGAGTATGAAGAGGATGGTTACTACTATTTGAATAATTTTAACGACTTTTTCCACTCTTGTGGTAGGTAAAAGAGCTTTCTTTGGTTACAAAAGAGATTTAAAGGATACCGTACTATATAGGTTTGCTTCAGTATCGTTCATGGTGCATGGTTACTCTTTGTGGCAAATATCAGAATTGAGCAAGATTTAGTCTAATTTGAGTATTACTTCTTGACTATTATTTATGGAGTACAACTGAAACCATTGGAGGTCCAATAGATAGTTTTAATGGGCACAAAAATATTAAATGCTTTCAAATCCAATAAAAATTTTTCTGTGAAGTTTATTATGAACACTGGCTCGCTTTGCGCGTCATCTCAAGTGTTGCCATAGAAACGCGATCATTTTAAATTTTTATTAATGTTTTTTTTAAACGACCGGACCCCACCCTTAGTCAAACTGAAATTTTCGGTCCCCCCCCCCCCCTTACCTTAACAATACATAAGGTACCCCCAATAACTATATGCACTTTAAAAAAAGACTTCTGCAGCAATTTATATATGAATATACCGTGCTACAATACAATTCACACTATACATCTTTGCTTTTGATTC